CCTGGGTCCTCCTTCTTGCGCTTTTTGAAGACTGGAGTGACATTGGCTATCTTCCAGTCCTCAGGCACCTCTCCTGTTCTCCACGACCTTTCATAGATGATGGAGAGTGGCTCAGCAATGACATCTGCCAGCTCCTTCAGCACTCGCAGGTGCATTCCATCGGGACCCATGGGTTTGTGGGTGTCCAGCTTCCTTAAAAGATCCCTAACCTGATCCACCTCAACCAAGGGAAGGTCATCCTTTGTCCAGGCTTGCTCGCTTACCTCCAAGGACTGGGGAGCCTGAGGGCCAGCCTTGGCAGTGAAGACTGAAGCAAAGGCGGCATTCAGTAACTCTGCCTTCTCTGCATCTTCTGTCACCAGGGCGCCTATTTTGTTCAGCAGCGGTCCCACATTTCCCCTAGTCTTCCGTTTGCTGCTGGTATACTTGAAGAAGCCCTTCTTGTTATCCCTGATATCCTTTGTGAGACTTAGTTACAGGTGGACCTTGGCCTTTCTAGTTGCTTCCCTGCATGCTCTGGCAGCACTCCTGTATGCCTCCCAAGTGGCCTGACCCTCTTTCCAGATTCCATAGAGCTTTCTCTTTTCTTTGAGTTTTACTAGAAGCTCCTTGATCATCCATGCAGGCCTCCTGCCTCGTTTACTTGATTTTCTACTCATGTGGGATGCACTGATCCTGAGCACGGAGGAAGAGCTGCTAAAATAGCAGCCAGCTCTCTTGAACTCCCCTACCTTCAAGAGCCTTAGCCCCTGGAATTCTTCCAAGTAGGTCCCTGAAGAGGCCAAAGTTAGCTCTCCTGAAATCCAGTGTTGCAGTCCTACTTGTTGATCTGCTTCCACCACGCAGAATCCGCAACTCCACCAGCTCATGGTTACTGCAGCCAAGACTGCCCCCTACCTTCACATCCTCAACCAGTTCTTCTTTATTTGCCAGCACAAGGTCCAGTAGCGCTCCACTTCTTGTTGGCTCCTCCACCACCTGAGTCAAAAAGTTATCATCAGTGTTCTGCAGGAACCTCCTGGACTGTGCATACCTTGCTGTGTGGTCCTTCCAGCTGATATCAGGATAGTTGAAGTCACCCATGAGAACCAGAGAAGATGTGATCCCCAGAGAATCAAGTTTCATCCCAGTCCAAATCGCAGCCTTCCCACCTGTGTTGCCCAGCTCTGTGTGGCCACTTGGGTGGAGGCCCAAACAGACTGCCCCCAAAAATGGGTCCTGACTGCCTGAAGAAAGAGGACTCCCAATAGGTGCAAAAGGAGTTGGATTAAGTTTTGCAGACTTGTAGCTGTCAGCTGGCCCTTTCTTCATCTCGGCCATCTGCTCAGGGCCTTGTTGTGTTATGTATTTAAATAAAAAAAAATTTTTTTTTCATAGTTATTTATTAAATGTCTCTGGTGTCAGCTGAAAATATTTTGAGTTTGTACGGCACCTGCAGAAACTCCCAGCCACCCTCATGTTTTCATATACTGACTTCCATGTCTGGATTTCAGACACTGATGTGACAGATACGGTTGGGCGAGGGGCAGACTTTAGAGATCTCATTCCTTGGATGCTGCCAAGCAGCAAGGCTAGCTCCACAGTTTTGGGGCCACTATAAGACAATTAGGCCCGTTTCTAAAAAGAAAACCAACAGGATGGCTGTCCCTCTTGACTTGCTTCTGGGTTTTGTTGCTTTCTCTGGTGGATGTTTAAATTTTTCTGTGAGCTCTTTTTCTCCTTCCTCATTCTTCCTTTGGGAAAACACTTTCTGAACTTAAGAGTCTGTTTTACTTCCTTAGGAACTTGGAATGCATATTTTAACCAGGTATCTCTCGATGTAAATAAGAAGATCAGGCTTAACTCCAGTTGCCCCTACTTATGCACTCTTGTGTTGTGGCTGAAACATAAAGAGAAGCCTGAAGACAAAAAGAAGTGGAGATGCAGGAAACACTCAAGTAAGAGACAAACCAGGAAGCAACAACTGAAGGGACCTGACCCTGCAACCCCAGCTTGTTTAGGCTTGTTCCAAAATGTGAATGCAATTCAGGAATAGAAAAATGCAAGATGGAGAACTGTAAGAAGTTCGTACTTGTGCCTCAGTCTCCTGGTTTACCAAGAAATCTCTGTAGAGATATACTGAGACATTTTCTGAATTTTTAGTGCAGAAGATAGTCATCCCGGATGAATGTTCCGCCAGTCATGGGAGCAGAATCACCCCATGTCATGCCTCCATTATCTTGTTCTCTTTTTCAGACCCTGTCTCCTTTATGGACCCTGCCTAGGTGGCTGGAGAACTAGCTGTTCCCCAGCATGTACCTGCAGATTATTCCTTAAGGAGAAACACTCTCACCCACTTGTCATCTTCCCAGTGGAGACTGAAACAACTTGGTCAGTCCTGAGACTACTGTAAGCTTTTGGTTCCCTAGATCCAAAGATTAAGCTCAATGAATTTGTGTTTCACTGTATGATCAAGTTTGAAATGAAGTGTCTGCAGTTGGTTCCACAACAGCAGTGCCCTGGCTTAAGCCACAACTGAACGGAAATGTATTGGCTTCTCCACCAAGGTTGTAATTTGCATTTGTACCTGGGGCCGTTTCCAGGAGTAGCTTATGCAGCTATCCTGCTAATAGACATCTAGAAAAGATGCACCCCATACCTGCCCCAGGGAAAGGGGCACACATTTGCTCATGCACACACAATTACTCACTCTCCTTTGACATGCCCAGTTGCATAGGCTGCCCTCCACATGTGGCCCTGCAGCTGCTTCAGTGCTGTGGTCTTCCTGTCCAGAGACATCTGCCAGTGCACATTGTCAACGACCGCCTGGATGACCCGCTCCAGCTCCTCTTCCCCGCTTCCACTCTCCAAAGGGATTGGCACGGCCCCGTCCAAATTGGAGTCCTCCTGTGCCTGGAAATCACCCATGATAAAAAGAGGTGAGGGAAGAGGTGGAGTGATCTCAAGATCTCAATTTAGGAAAGGGGTATAACACCCACACCAACGCTCCTCTGTGCAGGACACAGCTTGAACTGCTCTTCACATGAAGGGTTACAACATTGTTTGTATGCTTTTCTCAATGGGAAACTCAGACTTCAGTAGCATCTAGAAACACTTGCTTGGATTGTACTTTCCAAATCCAACAATTAGCACTACCGTAGCTGTACTGTAAATACTTTAAGGAGAATTATACTTGCTTAAGTATTAATTACTGAAATTAAGGCAAAGCCAGCCACAGGTCTCAAACTGATGCCGTGTCCCTGTAGAGAGGCAGGATACACTGCCCTCTGCGGGAGAAGTACTCTTGCCATCGCTCCATGCTGCTTCCCGAACAGGTGCCTGGAAGCCACAAGCCGCAGATTCAGCAAGAGAAGGGCACAGTGCAGGCATGAAGCTAAAAAGCCATGGTTCGATGCCCACTCCGGGGGCCGTGAAGACCAAGGCGATAAGGAAAGCAGCTGAGCTACTGCCCACTGAGCATCAGCCCTTCCCCGAGCACAACCCCAGGCTTTGGGTGGGGGAGAATCAGCCCATTGAGGCAACCAGCCTCCATGGGGAGCAAAGAGAGGAATGGGCTTGTGTTGGGTGATGAGGGAGTCCGAGTGGCCTGAATTCTCAGGCACGCCGTGAAAACCTGGAGAGACTCCATTACTTAACCTGTTTCCTCAGAAGTCCGACGTCCCGCTGGCACTCCTCCTCCTCCCAGTGAGTGCGCAGATATTCCTTCACGTTGTCTTTGATGTAAGGGAACAAGGTCTCCTGGCAGCACACAAGAAAAACAGGCAGCTCCTTTAACCTGGCAGAGATAAGGCTGACTTGCTTTTAAAGCAACCATTTGCACATGCTGGTGTGTACGGTTATTTTTCCTGCTCGAGCTTCCCCTACGGTACTGCAGCTTGTGAAACTGCCTGCCAAGGGTGTCTGCATGGTCGCAGGACAGAGTCAACCTTGGGCCAAGATTAGTGCAGGTGGATTTTTGCACAAATGCTTATGTAGCTGCAACTTTTAAAAATCCCAGGATGGAAAGGTGGGTGATAACATTTACTGGGCTTGCCAAAAAATGTCGAAACTGGCAGACATGACTCCAAGTTCTCATCAGCTGAGGAGTACAAGGCTGACTGTGTATGTATTCTGAACTGACAAATTATACTACTCTATTTTTAATGGGGTGCTTGTCCTAGCAAAGGTCATTCTTAAAACACATCTCAACTTCTCACCAGAGCTAGAGGACCTTTTAAAAAGAAAAGTCTAGTCCAGTGACATTGAGCTCCATAGGACAGTCTTGCGAATGAAATAAAATGGGGTTAGGGAAAATTGCTACAGGAGAACTACAAACCTTCCCAGAGATCCCAAGGGCAACTAGAAATAATTACAAATTGCTCTCATTAGTGGTGTTTCACAACTAAGAAGCCACAAGCAGCACCACGACGGCATCTCTGGGTGCAGGAAGAGCCTCAGGACAAGGGGAAGGGGAGGGATCTCCTTCCTTTGGGTACAGAACCCATCTTTTCTTAACTGGGAAAAATTTAGGATGAGGAGAAGATGGGAGGAAACTAACCTGAACTCATGGCTCAAAAATGGCCAGTGATATTTTTCTCCTCACTATATGTCACCTTTAACTTGTTACTGAATTAAGAAAAATGGTGGTCTTGAGAATGTGATGTGGTGGCAGAAGTGCAGGATTTTCTATTACTCCAATATTGCGTTTTCCATGTGTATTTTAAAAACAATGTAAATTTAGGGGAAAGGAAAATCTCTTAAATGCCTAGAAAATTACCACAAATTTGGCTACCCCCAGTTACTCTCATTTCCTTTATTTGAGCTTAGTTACTTTCCAACTATCTTTTAAAGCATGAAGGAAATTAAAGAGTATTCACCGGGAAATGTGACCAACCTGCTGACTTGGTTTAACTTCCTTTACAACTCAGATGTCAAAAGGTCCCAATTAGTTTCCAAAAGCAGTGTTTCCTGCTCTTGTGCTGGCAAAGAAGAAAGGCTCTGAAAACGCATCTCTGAGGCTTCAGCTTTCAGCAAAAGTTGGCAGCTGCAGACTTTTGAATAGGCTTAACTGGGGCTGTTACTGACCTTTATAAGTTCACCAACTTCTCTTTTATCTTGGCTAGCAGGAGACCCAAGCCTGCCTGTGCACAGCTCCCATCGCTCTGTCCATCTCCTGTGGATGCCAGGGAGATGGGTGCTATCACCCCACCACACCACTGGACGGCCGGGTTCCTCAGCAACATCCAGCCCCAGATGTGGCTGCCCCAACACAGCTTGGCAGGATGGAGAAACAGCCATCAGCAAACACAGCTCGACAGCCCTCCTTCCTAAGCTTTCGCAACTGCTCACATCAATGTTAAACCTAGTATAGAAAGGATGGTAATTTTTACCATCAGTAGACATCCACGTAGCATGCTGTAATTAGCACTTGTAGGAGTTCAAGCGATCAGCGTCAATTTTCCTCTCAATGTCCATGCACTTTGCTTTTTTACAGGAGATCAGCAAATCCCAGGGGATGTACTTTATCAAATTACATCTCTCCCCTGCCATCTACTTCTCTCTGCCAGGGTAGACCAAGCAAAAGAGAAAACTTGGTGACCTCTAACTAGGGGACACCAAATATTCTCTTTTCTGGTATCTTTCCTTAACCTACCCCTCAACTGGTTTATTCTATTTCCTTACTTTGCATATTCAATAATTGTAATACTAAAGAAAGTATTAAATTAAATCCTTTAATATTAAAGAATAAAATTCCTCCAGAACCAGCAGTGGACCTTTTAAAGGGAAATAGAAATTATGGAGGTTAACTGAAAGTCCAAGTGAAATAATCTGTTTCAAGCATTTTCAGGATTTCCAGCACACTGAGTTTTATTGAGAACCATAACTCATTTGGCCTCCCTGCAACAGAAAGATTTTTGGTAGGAAACCATCTCAGGTGTATTGCATGTTATTTGCACAACAGCAAAATGGATTCAAGGTGGATACAAGGAACTTTGCTGCTCTGTTAGATGTTGAGTAAGAAATCTGAACTGTTCAACTGAAAGATATGGAGGGGAGGGAGGCAGCTGTAATGCCACCTAGACCTGAAGTTTCTTCAAGAGCACTGGAAGAACATGGACAGGAAAGAAGTAGGTCATGTTGCTCATCTGTTAAACTGTGTCAGCAGAAACATCTAGAAAGCCTGGCAAGAGCCTTCACCCCTCCATGCATCAATGTGGGTCGCAAAGCACCTTTGTAAACTACCAGCAAAAAGGATCTACCAGAAGCTATAATGTCTGATGGAGAAATACAGGTTAGTGGCAGGAGCAGGGATAATTCCGTTTGGTGTTTTACGTAGATGCAAATTCCTCCATCCTGTGAAGCACACAAGCTTGGTGATGGACCAAAACCTCTTGGGGAGGAGGGACCCACAGCGGTTGGAGAACTTCAAATTTTAATAGCATATTTACAGTGTTTGTTCAGATGCATCCTGCTGGGCTCGCAGACTTCCTGGTCCCCTGGCTTCTGCAACTAAACCAACATTTTCAATAGTCTTAAGCCTTCTCCAAGGCAAGGGAAGCCACTCATACATATTCACTGTTAGTACAACCCTCCTCATGTACACTTGATGCACTCTCTGTGCTACCCTCCCCGTGTACTGCTCCTGTGCATGCTGGAGGAAGGACATATGTCTCTGGTGACATTGGAGGCACCTGACTGTGCCACCCTTTGGAAGGAAAAAGGCAGCGGATAACCGCGAGATTGTACTTCAGGCTCGGCGAGGGTGAGGTGCTGCAGCTCCAGCCACCTGAGCAGCAGCGATGCTCAAGGGCTTTTTCTAAATGAGGCTGAGAGCACTCCAACTGCCCTATATTCATGAAAAAGATAATTTACTGAACTGCCCTGGATCTGAATAGTTCCCTGTTCCCCTGGCCACAAACGAGGCAGACGACCGTTAAAATGAGACGTATTTTCTCGTGAGCATTCATCAGAAAAACACGGAAGACGTGTCACGGTTTTACGCTTCTGGAGGAAACTCGGGCCTGCCCTCCGCAGGGCTGCAGGCGCGGGAGAGGCACTTCCCCGCCGCGGGGGGGCCGTG